AATTATATTGAGTTTAATTCTACAAATTAAAAGATTAAATAATAATAAATTTAATTCTTTAAATTCAAGTAGCTAGAAACTAAAATTATAGTTTCTCTGTTTTAAATATTTAAAAATAAAAATCAAAACTAGTATTATCTTAAATTTATTAAAAGTGTAATTAAATATCTATTTTCTTATTTTTATTTGTTTCAAACTTCTCAATTCTACATTTTTGTAAGTTCTATCAATATATTATCATCCTCATCTCCTCCCATGTTTCTACTTTATCTTTACAATAGTCAATATTCTTAACTAATTTATAGTTTTAATTATATTTTTTTAGTATATATTTCAAAAATTAATCAATTCTAATCTATTATTTGAAAAACTAATCAATTCTAATCAATAATTTAGAAAACTAATCGATTATAATTAATTATTTGAAAAAATTATCAAATATGATCGATCATTTCGAAAATATAATCGATCAGAATCAACTATCGCTCGAGCGAGATAGACTCGCTCAAGCTGAAATACAACCCGAGAGTACTAATTTTGTGCAGGGCGTTTCGCTCGAGCGAGAATGTTGTCGCTCAAGCGAGATGACGTTTAGATAGCGGTTACACAGAACCGCTCTTAAAATATGACTTAGATAGCGGTTAACCCTTGAACCGCTATTATATGGTTTCAATTATGATCGGTCAGAATGCATTTATGACCGATCATAACTATTTTAATCGATTAAATCTCGTTTCAATCGATTAAAACAGTTTCTGACAACTGCTTTAATCGATTAAAACTTATTTTTATCAGCTTAAAATAACTTGAAAAGTTTTAGGAGAAAGTTTTGCAAGTATTTCAATCGATTGAATTGTGAAACAATCGATTAAATCAACTTAGAAGATTTTTTGTAAAGTGTTTTAATTGATATAAACGTTGTCGTATCAGCTTAAAACAAATCGATTAAAGAATCAAGAACGTATTAGTGGATTAAAAGAAGTTTTAACGCATTAAAGCTGCACTTTTAACAGATTAAAAGAATCTTTTAACAGATTAATTAAACCAAGTAGCTTTGAAAATCTTCTATAAAAACAATTTGGCTTGAACTTTTTTAACATACATTGAATATATCATCTTTAAAAAATAAATAAATTTATATATATATATATATATATATATTTTTTTTTTGCATTTTAATTTTCAAATATTAATTTTTTATGAAATTAATTTTAATTAAAAAAATTAAAGTGTATATATATATATATATATATATATATATATATATATATATCCAACTATTAAATTATTCAAGATATTAATATAAATTTAAAATATCAATTCAAGTAATTAAAATAATTTTAATTTTTTATAAATACATTGAAATACATTTTTATTAACATACAAGTAATATATATATATATATATATATATATATATATATATATATATATATATATATAAAGAGACTAAATTAATAATTAATTTGATTATTGATTTAGTGACCGATTCGATGACCGAATCGATGGACCGATTCTAGTGACCAAATTAGTGACCGAATCGATGGATCGATTCAGATTAGTGACCGATTCGATGGACCGAATCGATGTGACCGAATTAGTGACCGATTCAGTGACCGAATCGATGGATCGAATTAGTGACCGATTCGGTGACCGAATCGATGACCGATTTGGTGACTAATTTAATAATCAATTTTAATTTTTTTATTCACATGCTAAATAAAAAAATAAAATCAAATAATTATATTACTAAATTATTTAATAAGTTAGTAAACAATTTTTTTAAAATATTTATAATGTTATTAAAAATGTTATCAATTATTTTAAATTATTAAGTAAATTTATATTTAAAATATTTTAAATAAAATATTTATATAAATGAAAAATAGATATCGAGTGTAAAAATTATTTTTTTAGTGACTCGAAATTTTAGTCACTAAATCGAGTTACTAAATATAAAAAAAATTAATAATTACATAAATTAAATATAGATTAATTAAAAAAATAAATTAAATAATAAAGTGACTGAAATAGTAACCGATTTTATGTGACCGAAAATTCGGTTACTATTTCTGATTACTAGACTAAAAAATAATAATTTGGTTACTGATTCGGTCATTGATAGTAACTAAATTTTTCGGTCACTGATTTCGGTTACTATTTGACATTTTTCTAGTAGTGAGGTTAATAGTAAGACACCTAAACAATCTATAGATATTAATAGTGATAACGTATATAAAGATTTGAGAAGTAAAAGGCAGAGGAAGGAAACCTCATTTGGAGATGATTTTTACACTTATCTAGTTGAAAATGATCCAACGAGTTTTTTAGAGGCTATTAGGGCTCTTGATGCAATACATTGGGATAAGACCATTAGGACTAAAATTGATTCAATTAAGAAAAATAATACTTAGACTTTAGTATATTTGCCTAAAGGAGCAAAACCTATTGGTTGTAAGTGGATCTTTAAGAAAAAGTATCTTCCTGATGGATCCAGCAAGATTAGTAGCAAAGGGTTTTACTTAAAAATCCAACATTGATTATTTTGACACCTTTGCCCATGTGACTAGGATTTCCTCTATTCTAGTTTTGTTAGCTCTAGCAGTTATCCATAAGCTGGTTATACACTAAATGGATGTTAAGACAACCTTTTTGAATGTTGAATTAGAGCAGAAAATTTATATGACTCAACCTGAAGGGTGTGTTGTTCTTGGTCAAGAGAACAAAGTGTGCAAATTTTTAAAATCATTGTGTGGATTAAAATAAGCACCAAAACAGTGGCATGAAAAACTTGATAGTGTTATACTTTGTAATGACTTTTCAACTAATGATGTTGATAAATGTGTGTACTCTAAATTTAAAAGTGGTGAATGTGTCATTATATGTTTATATGTAAATGACATACTAATATTTTATACATGCATTGACATTGTCTCTAAAACTAAGTTGTTTTTGGTATCTAAATTTGAAATAAAAGACATGGGTGAAGCCAATGTGATTTTGGAAGTTAAAGTCATAAGGAAGGGCGATAGTATTTTACTATCCCAAGAACAATACATTGAGAAACTTCTTAGGAAGTTTGGATGTTATAACGTCGAATCAGTGAATATTCTTTATGACACTAACTCTAAGTTAAAGAAAAATAAAGAAGATTCAATCTCTCAACCTTAGTATGCCCAGGTAACTGGGAGCTTACTGTATTTAATGAGCTTTTCTAAACTTGACATTACTTATGCAGTAGGTAGACTGAGTAGGTACACTCAATGTCTTAATCAAAAACATTGGAATGCACTTGCAAGACTTATGAGATAATTAAGAGGTTCAAAAGATTATGTCATTGAATATAATGGATTCCCCGCTGTACTAGAAGGGTACAGTGATGCTAACTGGATCTTTGATTCAGATGAGAAAAAATTCACTCGTGGTTATGTATTCACACTCGGGGGTGGTGCGATTACATGGAAATCAGTCACGCAAACAATTATTGCAAGATCAACAATGAAATATGAATTTGTTGTTCTTGAAATGGCTAGTAGTGAAGCTGAGTAATTGAAAAAAATTCTTAGCAAATATTCCATTAGGAATAAAATCGTCCTCATCTATATCAATACACTATGATTGCCAATTGGCAATAGCTATAGCTAAAAATAAGAACTACAATGGAAAGAACAGACATATACAATTGAGACATAATTTAATAAAGTAGCTTCTAAAGAATGAAACAATTTTCATTGACTATATGAAGTCAGAATGACATCTAGCAGATCCTCTAACGCAACCCTTAGCGATAAAATATGATTTTAGAAACATTGAGTGGAATGAGACTTAATCAACTTGCAAAAAAACAAGTGATGGTAACCCAACCTTTGTGATTGGAGATTCCATGAATAAGGTTCATATGGGTAAAAACAAGTCACTTGTTAGTTCTGCTAAAATTGATTAAAATCAATTATGTCAATTCCTATGGTGTATATGTGAAAGTGTTAGATATTGCATTATTGAGAGGTTAAACTTTGTAATTAAAATTCTATGTGATGTACAAATTTTAGTCTAAACAAAGTTTTTAACGATTTCATATCCCTTACGGGTGGTGTATGATTTGCAGCATACGCTTGATGAAGTCACCTATATGAGTGTCGAGTAGGGTCACTTGTATGAAATCTTTACAAGATTTATAGAGCACTAATGAATACCGGGCACGCGCATGACCTAGTAAGCGCAACACAACAATAACAACAAGAATTGTGGGGGTGTATTGAGATTGTTAAACTACTGACACACACTAAGTGTTTTGGTTCATATAGCTTATTATACCAACTCTGATGCATTACATCTTATATGAGACCCAAGACTTTCTTCTTTTGTTCTTTTATCTCCTTATTTTTGCAATATGTGGGAAATTGTTATGAAACTGTATTGTAGAAAAATAAGGAACTCACTCCCACACGTTGGAGAGAACGTTACAAACCCACTAGCAAGTCTTCCTCTAACTGTTGCAGAATTTTCTCCTTATTTCATGACACTTTCTAAGTATTCGGGGTGAGGTGGTTACTGTGGATTTTTTGGGCGTAGGTAGTTGGGGTTTGAGTCCAATCTATACCTATAAATAGAAACCACTTCACATTCTTTCAAAAACACATATCTCTCATCTTCTCTTCTTTATTTTTCTTCATGTTCTATTATTATCCTGAGTTTATTTATTCTTCTAAGAGTTTTTTGTCAATTTCTGAGATCCTCAAAAATTTCAAAAAGTTCCTATTAAGAAATTGCACAATACATCATAAATAAATTTTTACGGACAATAATTATATACGTCTCAATAATAAAATTGATATATGTCTTTGTAAACTTTTATAACAATAAAAACAGGATTATGTTGCATATACAATTTATGTTGTCTCTCTGGTATTATATATTCGATATTTGTTCTACATCCTTGGTGATAAGTTACTCTTTTGCCATAAATAATTAAACATTTTTAATTTTACAAAATAAAAATGTTTAAACCAATAAACGCGTGAAACGTGGTGACTGTTGTTTGGCCTCAGCGTCAGGATGAACCTTCACGTTCCAATTCTTTAGTGTAAAAAAAGTCTAATAATTATGTAGTTTAGTATTCATTATTATTAACATTATAACTCATATTTATTATATATTACGGTTCATATTACAAACACATTACAAAAAACTTTATTTAAATTATCATTCAAGAAAAAGTTGAAGTAATTATACAGAAATAACTTTTCATTACAATTAAATGGAATAATAAATCTTTAATAAATTAAATGTTGTAATATATTTCTTTTTGAATAACTGATTTTATTTAATAAATACAATATATTTATATATCAGGGGATAAAAATAAATAGTATTTAAGGTGAAATCTGAATACAAAATATATATTTTCGATCAATATTTACTGGTAACACTTGTATTTTAATTTAATTCCTTGTTTATTATTTGGGCGAATATAAGGTAAAAAAATTGAACCTAATTACAAATACAAATATTTAACAGATACAATTTTCAATTTTTTTAAATAATATGGGTAGCATTAATAAAGTTTTTGGAAGTAATTATATATTCAAAAATAGTCATTTATTGTAATTAAGTTAAATAATAATTTTTAATGTATATTTGATGCATTTAATATTATAATAAATAGTTTTTATTGAACAATTCGTTTGATTTAATGGCTAAATTAGTCATCGAAATAAAATATTATATATATATATATATATATATATATATATATATATATATTTTAAGTAGATGTATGTGATATATGAAATCATTATTTTTTTAATGATGTTTTACATGAAAAATATTATTTATATATAAAAAACTTACATATATTTTAAGGTTGAATATATTTTTTCCTTAACTAAAATAAAAGACGAGTTTAATTATTTTATTAAATTTATAACAATAAAAATATTATTAAATATTAAATTATGTATGAAGAAATATTAAAATTATATTTAATCATTTTATCAATTCTACTATACTAAAAAAGTCGTAAATTTAAGTATAAAAAAATTAAAATAATATATTTTCATAAGTTGAAGGATTAATTAATCCAAAGACCAATATCAAATTTAAAAAAAAATTAACCCTATATTTAATTAGATGTTTATTAACAAAATAATAAATATTTTATGTATATTTGATGTATTAAAGGTTGTAATAAATATTTTTTTTGTTAAATAATTAATTTTATTCAATAAATGCAAAATACTACTCTCTTTGGTGGGGATGAGAAAAAAAAATTCAAAATAAAGTTGTGAAGTAATTATAAAAAATTATTTTAATGTAATTAAAATAAATAATAAATATTTAATATTTTTTATGATGTATAAATGTTGTAAAAAATATTTTTTTGTTAAATAATTACTTTTATTTAATAATGCAATATACTGTTCAAAGTCGTTTTTCTTTGTAGCTGTGCTACTTTCAAAGTTTTTTAAGCTTCCATTTTTTGAGTAGATCTGCTTGGAATGAAGACAACGTTACCATAGATGCTCCCTCGATCGGAGAAGAAGTTGGTATGTGTTGTTTTTCTCTGAAATTTGTGACGTCTTCCTCCATTTTACTCTTATTTTCAATTCTCATGTCTGGTTTTCATATCTCGCTTACTGGTTTTCACAAAATCGTATCGTAATTGTTTGGGGATTTTGATCGCATCGAATCGCTTAGTTTATTTTGATTGTGCCTGGTGTGATTTGTCTTATTTTTCTACGGTTCAATTTCATTCGTCGTGATTCAGTGTTTTTAACAGTGTTGTTGTTACTCGTTCTGTTGTTTATGATCTTGTTTTCACATTTTGCCTCTTTGGTTTTCATCTTTAGACACAAATCAAATTTGTTCATTGCAAGTGAGGACGAGTATGTTAAATTGATTTGTCGTTCTAAATTTATTTTGGCATTGACATGTATAAATATCAACAATCAATTTTCTTAACTACGAGTGAAATTACTTATTTTACATTTAGTCTCATCTATATATAGTCATGAAAGTACTTTTGTATTAACGCCATCAAAATGATGAAATCAATCCAAGTCGTTAAAATTTTAAAGCTTAGCACTCAGAACCTTAAAAATCCACTTTGCGTAGGTACTTATCTACAACCTGAACATTGAACAGAGCATTTATCTATTCTACATTTTAAAGTGAATAAGCTTGAATAATTTGAATTTTTGTTTCATTTCAGACATATCACTACATGATATTTTGAGCCTTTAAGATTCCCATTGATTGCGTTGGAGTATATGAGATAGATGTAGATAATTAAAATAGAATAAAATCTTAGTTTGGTATGGAAGAAAGTGTTTCACAATAAATACTAACAAAATTAAGGTAACTAAATCTATTTCTCTAATTCTTTATGTAAGACAGTTTACCTAAATGCCAAACTAATGCTTCATTATATTTTAATTATGTACAACATGATATCTATCTTATATTGTTCCAATGCAATGAATGCTTGAAGTAAAAGTTAAAAATATCATAAATCTACCCAAAATAAAATAAAATTCATGTTATTTAAGTTTATTTACTCTTTGTTCAATACAACTTCTTCCTGGCTATAGATATTACTATGGCAAGTGAATTTTAAGGTTCTAACTGTGTAATGTCATGTCAACGCGATTTAAGGTTTAGGATTGAAATCTCAATGTATTTGATTGGAGACTGAGGGGGTGTGTGGGGTCCAACCAATCATTGGATTCAGTATCTTTCCTACCTCAGTGGCCACTCATGAGACAACCAATCTGGTGATTGAGCCTTTGAGGACAGAGGTTGGGTAATTCAAGAAATTTTGCTCGTAGTTAAGAATTGTTACCACAAATCCTGTACCCCAAAAATTAAACCGTGTCAAAATCCAAATCCATCTAGACTCAAGACAAATTATTTGAATAAACAGAAAACAATTAGAATTAGATTTAAAGAAGATTTTTACTGAATTCGAATTAATTAAATTCGTATCAATTTTTTGCTAGAAGAAAGTCTTAACCTTTAACATTTTAATTTGAAATTTTCTTCAACAAAAGACTTCAAGTAGAAAGCCACAGAATGGAGAACAGAGAACCCACATGGGTTGCTTCTAATCTTGTTGGGTATGAAAAATTATTCCTTAATTAATTCTCTTGTAGTGTTCATTAAGAAATATGCCTCCATGGGCAGAAGAAAAAAATATTATTGGCCTTTACCTAGTCTCATTTATTCAATTTATCACTGATGAAAAAAATTGTTGATTTAGTTAAAAAAATGTTATTTCTTTTAGTGTTGAAATATTAACTCTGTTCAATAATAGAAGGGAGTGATTGACATCATTTTCATGATAATTAGTGCAAAACTTTTCATGACCATACATATGAAAGCGAGATGTGACTAAAGGATATGTAATTTTAGTCAAAGAAAATTAAGGGTAGAGATTCATACCCATCAATAGTTTGTTATGCATGTGCACATAGTATCAATGGTTAACTTATTATTTAACAATTAAAATTGCATACCTTGTCATCTAAAGTATAATATTTACATATTAATTAATAAAAGTCATGAGTAAATAGTAAATCAAAACTATTTAACTTTTAATTATTTATTTTTGTTTGAATAAGAAAAAATGTATTTTTCCTATTTATAGAGGAAGGGAAAAAAGTCCCACTTGTAGTACTAAAAAAATCAAAATAGGATATGTATTGGCCTTTAAGTAAGCCATATGTTTCAGAAGTACTATGTGGTAACAAACTTATAATCAAGAAAGTTATGATTTCTCTCAAACAATTATATAAGTTTCCTTACCTTTCCATCGCTGACACAAACGAGGCCAAAAGGTCCCATTTGTATATAAAATCTCTTTATATCATACATTGTAAATTTGATTTGTTTATGCGTACAAATTTGGTACATTCTTTATTCCTTGTCCAACATTCTCTTCAACTAATATAGTGATATACTTTTGGATATATTTGTTTATTTAAATTTTTCATCACTTACTAAGAATCCCAATTTCAAATTTTGTACTCTAAAAACTATTCCCAAGTAGAATGCATGTTAGTATTGTTGTTGAATGAAAATCAAGTATAGTAAGAAAGTCTATTTCTCGGTTTGTGAAATTTGGGACCAACCACTTAAAAGGTTGCAACAAAAAAGGTAACTTTGTGCTGATGACATTCCAACCCAGAATCTTCTTGAACATAGGAACTCAGATTAGCCAATTCCACACACACCAATACAATTACTAACAAATAATTTGAGTTCTTGAAATATTTTTAAAGAAGTTTTTGGTTGGAAGGTTACAGTGCTTCTACATTGCTGCAACCTTTTGAGTGGATAATGACAAATTCTGCACAAACCACAATCAACTTCTTTGTACTTAACTTGATTTTCATTCAATTACGATGTCGATATGCATTATATTTTTTATAGAACAAAATCTGAAATTAGAAATTTTGGTGAGAGATGAAATTGAAATTAATAAGTAGGTGCAAGTAATATTATTACATTGATTTTGAAAAGTTACTTGATGTTTTATAAGGAATCAAGAAAAGACTACCATGTTGCATACACTTAATGAAATTATATATATATATATATATATATATATATATATATATATATATATATATATATATATATATATATATATATATATATATATATATATAGGGTGAGATCATATCTAAGAATGAAGTTCTTCTATGTGAAATGTGACCCTATATTCCATACACATTTCTCAACTTTATACTGATTTAGTATGAGCTTGTATGATTGTTTATTTAATGTTTATGCACGAGTTTTTGTTTAATTATTATCTACATATTATGAATTGGATCAGTGTGTTACTAAGATATAGATTGGGGTGACTGACAATGAGTTGTTTTGCAGAAGAAGATGCAATTTGTGAAGTTTCAAAAATAGTTCATTCAGATTTCAGAAGCCTTGTCAGACACACTTTATATGCAAATTATTTACTTAAAGAACTTTAAATATAAGTACCGCTTCAAAAATATCAAATTCCAGCCGAAGTAGATTCTATTTTTGTCACTTCTTGAGAAAAATAGATGTTTCTATACTTTGAAAATGATTGGAAAACTTGTTCCTAACAAACATAAAACAGTCACTCAAATTTTTGATGACCCTAACAACCATGCATATTCATTTATAAATCATAATTAAAAGAAAAAAGAAAAATATATAAACCCCTCAAATTATGTTGCGATGAATAATAAATAAAATTATAAAAAAAAGGGAAACGTCAAAAATAATTTATGATAGTTAAAAATCAGAGAAGACATTCATTAAATCATGGATGTTCGGTTTTTTTATTAATTTTGGTTTTTCATTTTCCTTTTCATGAGTTCTGAGTAAAGTTTTGATAATCAACTACTTTGAACATTATAAACTAATCCAAACATGTTAACAAAATCCCGGTTTAGTTTAGCTCATCCAAATACAACTAATTTTTAACCTACTCTTCCCATGTAAACCATCTACAAGATGTGAAAATATTTTACATGCCCATTATCCTAAATATTTTACATATCAATTGGATTAGATTTTTATATTTTTTTTTAAATTCAATCTTACCCTTAATTAGGTTTAGTTGTGTAAGTTAATTAAGTTACAAATTTTTAAAGATAATATTTATTATTAGAATATTTAATTTCAAAATCTTTTTTGTTAATTTTTTTAAAATATTTTTTAAATAGATTATATTATTTAATATTTTAATTGTTTCAAATATATATATACTCAATTAATATAATAATTAAACAATATTTTATATTATATTTTCAATGTATATCCTCATGTCAAGAACTGAATATCTTAAATATAAAATTAGATATTTATTGAGATTTCTAATATGTCTTATAAGATATGACTAATTTTCATCACTTGACAACTAAAATATGGATAGTTTGATAGTGATTTATACAAATATTTCAACTTAACATCATAATAAAAAATAAATATAATAATTTAATCCTATAAAACTTTGTTGGTGAAAATTGTTAATTTGATTTTATATCTATGACTTAAAAATGCTCAAAAGACATGCAGGTTATTACAATAATTTAAGTATGAACGGTAGAACTTCTAAAAAAAGATGAATAATAGTTACTTGAAAAAAAATAGTAAAAGGCACGTCAAATAAATAAAAAAATAAGTATATTACCAGCTAGTTTTTTTGTTATATTAAGATGTGCAACGAATTAATAAAAAAAGTAATCCATTTAAAATCCATTAAGACTTGTATATTTCTTTCATGAAACAAATATTTTGTATGATAAAAAACTTGAAAGAGAAAAAGACATCTAGTTTATACAAATAGAAACATAGCCACTCATTTCCAAATAGTGTGAATTCCAAGATAATGTGTTGTAGGCATGGAAACGGGCGGAACTGGTTTTAGATCCTCAATCTTGTTTTTTACTTTTTTTAATTGTTCTTACCCCGTTTCTTGTCAGATTACAAATTAAATTTTTCTCCTTTCTTGTTGGATTTTATATTTTTTCACCTTCGTTCTATATCGATCTACATAATTTCTAAAAATATAATTATATTTATAATAAATTAATTTTTATATTTTTATATATTTTCTAAAAATAATAAAATATAAAAAAAAATAAATTTATATATAATAAAAAAAATATTTTTAAAATATTAATATTTTAAAATTTAAATTTAAATATAAAATTATAATGTTAAGATTATACTATAATTTAATTTTAATATATATTTTTTTAACAAGTTAAATGTGAATTTGAGTAGCTTAGCCAATTGGACTGAATCTAATTTTTTATTAAATAATTTAGTTTAATATAATATTCAAAATTCTTTATGATAAAAATTGTTGTTTGGATAGATAATTTAAAATAATTTATATTTTAAAAATTGATAAAGATATTTTTTATTATTTAAAATAAGAGAATTTCAAATTTTATTTATAATAAAAAAATGAAATAATTTGAATTTTTTTAATTTATATATATATATATTATTTTATCTCAAATATTTTTTTATTTATATCGACTCATTTTAATGTTGGTTGATTTAACTCAACTCATAAAAATTACTTAGTTGACCTATTTTGACTTAATTCTAACTAATTTGGTATGTTCTTATCATAATCAAATTATTTTGACTCCACTTTGGTCTATCTTGTATTGAAATGAATCAATCTATCTAGACCTACTCCAACTCATTCTGATCTTATCTATCCTAACCTGATTTAACCATTTTTTATTAATTTTAACCCAACTACTTAAAGTAGGTGTGATCCACCTCAACCTGTTCAAGTGTTTTTGTTCAAGTTCAATTCAGCTACCTAAAGTATGTCTAACCCTAACCCATCCCAACTCAACCCATTCCAACTTGACTTATATTAGTCTAATCCGATTAATCTTGACATGATCCCTCCTTAACAACATATATTATCTTTATATTGTCCTAACTTATCTCATCTTAGTTTATCCTATTTAGTTATAACTCAACCTAATTCGTCTTGATCCAATTAATCAATATGGTCTAATTAATCTTGACTTAACCTAAGAAAGCATAACTCATCGCAACCTGTCAGCTAAATTCGACTTGACTCAACCTTTTCAACCCAATATAAATTTTCTCGACCAAGTTTGACATTACTAATCTAGCATATCTCAATTTGACTTGACTCAACTTGACTTATCATGGTTCCTTTTGATTAAACCTTACTCATGTAGATAAAGATTAAATATTATGAGATGAATTTAATTTCCAAGACTAATAATATTAATTTTTATATTTGATAATAATTAAAATATTTTATTAAAAAAATTGAATTCAATAAATTTGAACGATATTATTTAAATAAATAATTTTAAAAAGTAAATTATTTAACGTAAAACAAATTTAAAATCAATATATTTAAAAAAAATCCAAAATCAAGTATCAAACAAAAAATTAACTTATTTATTTAAGATGTTTAAAATAAAAGAAAAAATTAACTTTTTTGTTTAAGATATTTAAAATCAATGTTAAAGATTTACGTCAACATTATCTTCAAATATATCCTAATATACTCATTTGGGTAAAAAATATAAAAAATATTTTTATTTGCAATAAAAGCATATATGTTTTAGATTTTAAAACCAATGTTGAGGATTTATGTATACATTTTCTTGGAAGATATTTCAACCTGAATTTTACTGTATACATCTCATTAAACCAGAATTAAAAAGGAATATATATATATATATATATATATATATATATATATATATATATATATAATGTGAACCAACAAAAATTTGGTAAGAAAATATATTGTTTGGATAAATATGTTTGGAAAAATAATTGAAACAAAAACAAAGATTTTAAGAAATGTGTAAGAGATTAAGTGTTAAAATCAGGATTGATTTTTAAAAAATATATTAAATCACTCAAAATATTTTGCAACAAATAATATTTGCAAAACAAGAGTTGATCAGAAAACATTTTATCAAACCAATGTAAATATAATCTTAAATCAAACTATTGTGAAACACTAAAGACAATCAACTAGCCATTCATAAACTTACTGGAACCTTGGCTCCACAAACATTATCAGCAATTTAACATCCATAAATTCAAGACTATCCATTCACCATTGAGTTTAAAGGTTAAAATAAGAAACTGAGGTTTAAGAGAATTGATGTCAAAATAACATAATCTCTGTTACATGAAAACCAATAACCCTAAGCCACAACAAACATAAAGCAGCCACTCAAAATTCTGGAGATTACAATCTTGCATTCATCATTCTCCTCCATAAGCCCTGGACAGAGATCTCCTGTTGAATCACAAAACACCAACCAGTTAGGGCAAACTAATTCATGAATCTATTCATCTGAAAAGCATAATGAAAATAAATATAAAGGAAAAAAATGAACCCCTCCAAACATGTTTCCAAACACCCTTTTTAGTTTAGATCAACCAAACAATATAAACTTCTACCTTTTCACTTCCTATGTAAACCATCTAACATCTGAAAATATTTTACATGCCCTACACCCCCAAAAGCTAACTGGAAAATAGTGGCACTTGTCATAGTTTATATCAGTTGTGTTGATGATACCTTCAACTAGGAGATGGAAGAAACACCCTGATGGGTTGGTTCCTTGTAACCTTCTTTCTGCAGGAAGGGCATTTACCCTGGGTAGTTATTGCAGTGTTGATGCATTCCCTGCAAAAAATATGACCACACCTTGTGGACACAGGCTCTACAAAAGGACTCATGCATATTGGACAATCAAATTCAGGCTTCTTGGGAGGTTCAGGTGCCTTATTTTCACCCTGTAAAAGCAAATCAATTTGAACTCCTATAAATGTTCGATGCTGTGGCAAAACTAAGATGCATGCACCTTAAATTCATATATTATCACAGCAGAACTTTGTTGATTTCAAGCAATACAGTAGAAAAGCGTAAGAAACATAATCAATGTATATAATGTATGGCAAAACAAATGAATTTGGTTTGGATGATTTCATTACCGCAGTGCTACCAATTTTCACATTTCTATAAACTCTTCCTCCAATGATGAACTCGTGTGGCCATCCTTGTTCATCTTCTGCAACTGCAATAATCATGAATGGTTGATGTTAAACCACCACAAATTCTTTATCTTCCACAAAATTGATGTGTAAGGATACTCCACACATGTTCATGGTTTCCATGAGCTAATGCTGGATCCATTGCTATCAAATAATAGATATTATAAATCTACGATATGGATGATTACTTATAAGGCTATTTCATTAGAGATAAAATATTCTATTAGATTTTCAAACATACTAACCTATATATATAAATATGATACACTGGAGTGAAAAGTTCTCTATACTGATGACAGTGGAACGAATTAAAAACAGTTTTTTTTTCCTTTCAAAATCACAAATTTGCTAAAAAGAAGAAGAAGAAGTGGAGTGTTCTAGAAAGAATAGTTGACCACTAAATTTTGTGAAGGTTATGTAATGAAATGGAACTCATCAAACTACCCTCATACATGAGATTAAAGCTATTAATAATTTGAAAATTAAAATTCATAAAAAATACTTAATCATAGACAATGTTTTTCTTTCAATTGTAAAAAATTAATTATAGATCCCAAATAAACAATATGATGAATTAAAATGCCAATTGAATCCCTGATTATCACTTCTTCGTGAAAAAAAAAGGAAAGAAACCCATTAAATCTCATCAAAATACCAATACCCAAACAGAATCACAGGCAATTAAAAAATAAATTTTCATCAAAACAACAGTGATACGGAAGTGGAATACCAAGTAATAGATTACAACATATTATGTGAATTAAATGAAGTGATATCAGGAATGAAAACATCCAAATAAAAAAAAAAAAAAACTTTGTTCATCAAAACAACACACTGATATTATTGACTTGATTATATTTTATCTAATCTGCATTAGAGTTACACAGTAACTTTCTTATCAGTGTACTTCGTACGATATTAAAAACAGGATCCTTGGCAATTCTCCACATTACATAGCCAAGTTATAAAAACTCATCAGAATATCAACAAATCCAAAGCGAATGATAAAAGAAAAAAACCCCACCAACTAATACAAAATCAAAATCCAAACAAGAAATCACAAAATGAATTAATCACTGTTAAAAAATAATAAAAAGATGCCTGTATAGTCAGTGCTCATCTTGCGAATCCTCCTCCTCCGATTATTCCGAGACTGAGACAACAAAATCAAACAAAGCAAATTAGTACTTCCCAGCAAAAAAGCCGAGCAAAATTTGAACAATCGTTGTAGTTCTTGGTCATCAACAAGAATCGATTTTTATTTTAAAATTAAACATAAGTTGATTAATCTAAACGAAATTAAACCTGAGCAAATGTTCTTGGTGAGAGTTCAACGACATCATCATCATCATCGTCATTTGGATCGACAACAACATGGGCAGGTCGAACATTCTCTTCTGTCGGTGGCACGCGGTTCAGGTCCAGCCGCAACATCTTCCTCTGGTGGTTTCCTCTGAACGATCGTGAACTCATCTTCGGAGCCTGCTAAAGTCCAATAACACTCCACAAAATGAGCAAGAAAATGCAGAGAATGATACCAATGGAATAATTCTAAAAGGTGGTGAAGGTAACGCACGTGCATGCAGAGAAACAAAGACAGAAGAGTGATGAAAAATGAAGCAAGAGCGGAAGATAAATAAACGACGGAAGGGTAAGGACGATATTTCACCTTCTAGATTTGGACCACACACGGCACCTTAGTTTGAATTTTCATTTTCGTCAACTTTTATGATGTTACTCTCTCGTCACAATTTAAAAATTTTGTTTTTTTTCCTACATTTATTATTTTATTTATTTAAACATTTATGGTGCATTAATACATTTCACAATTTAAATGTTATCTATTAATTATTTTTACTTTCTTTTATATCATTTTTCTACTAATATAATTTATTTAAAGTTTATTATTATTATTATTAAAATAAATCACATTACTTTACTTTCTTTTCAATTTTATTTTAGATTTCATCTTTTTATCGAGCTTTAGAGTTTTTTTATCAAATTGTACTATTATTTATTAGCTTTATTATACTTTTAGTTCTAATATAATTAATTTTTAATTATTTAAATCATTACATTTAATAAAATATAATTTTTTTCCTAAATATTAAGTTTAAATTTTAAAAAAATTATCATAATTCGTAAATTTATTGTTTAAAATTATAATAAATAATTTTCTAATTTAGAGATTAAAATCAAAATCACTCTAAATAATAAAATTAAAAATATAATTAAATTTATTCAGTATACACCTCTTTTACTCGTTTTAAAAATATTTTAATTATAGCGTGAATACTTATATAAGAAATATTATTATTAACGGTAAAGTTTTGAAGTATTATTATTATAATTTAATTTACTTTTTTTTAAATTATACTTGTTTCTTTAACTAGTCTTAATTATTATTATTATAATTATCTTATTCATTAATTATCTCTACGTAACGTATACAACGAACATGTATACAGTGTTGCGTGAAATAATCAAAATGTCATTAAATAAAAAAATTAATATTTAATGTTTTAAATTAAAGTTATGGAAAATATATTTATTGAAAATAGTTGTTTAATTATGAACGCAAAATATTTATTAATTAAAAATATAAAATATAATTAAACCTTCACTCTAATAATTAATTTTAAATAATTCATTTAATATATTGAGTCATTTCAATAAATGAAGAGACTCTCTTTAATTTAAAATTTAGAAAATATATAATCTTTGGTAAAGGAAATCAAAGTACTGAAAAAGAGAAAAATAAAATATATATATATATATATATATATATATATATAAAGATATTTTAGAAGAGGATATCAATATATAAAAATTAATTATCATAAAAATAAAAATATTATATATTAATATTATTTATTAAATTTAAATTTTAGAAAATAAATTTTATTTTATCAATTTTTTTTAAATGAGTCTATAATTTTATTTTTAGATATATTTAAAATTTAAATTAATTTTTTTTAATTTACATTTTACATTATTCATATTTAACATCAAAATAAAATATCATGAAACATTAGTTCATTTATAACAAATAAATAAATTCATATCAATATTTCATATTTTTATATTATACCCAACATCTTTATTTGTTATAATAATAAATAAATAAATAAATAAATAAATTTTTTTATTTTTTTATTTTTATTTTTTAAAATATTGTAATGTATATTACTTATTTTTTAATTTTTTGTCTTATGAATAAAAGAAAAAAAAACTAAAACATAAAAAAATTACAATTTTTATGACACAGAGATGAATGAAATTATAAAAAAAGAAAGAATAAAAAAATTTAAGAGAAAAATTTACAATTTTTATATAATAAGATGAAAAAGTAAATAAAGGATAAAAATAAAAAATAGAAATATAAAAATACAAGATGAGTATACGATAAAATAAAAAAAAATATGGAAAAATGAAAAGAAGATAAAAAAGAATAGAAATCTGAATATAAGATAAAAGAAAAAAAATATAAATGAAAATTACGTTTATTTATTATAAATAAAAATAAAAAATAAAAAAATATATATTTTTATTTAATTTTAAAAAATAATTATATATAAATGATTTGGGATGGGAGGGTGAGCCTTATTTGGCCCTTCCCCTCTCTCTCTCTCTCTCTCTCTCTCTCTCTCTCTCTCTATATATATATATATATATATATATATATATATATATAACATCAAATATATATATATATATAACATCAAATTTGGAGTAAAATATGTAATCGAAAATGTATTAAAAAAATTAGGCCATTTAATTCATGTTCCTAATTAACTGAATATATGTAATTATCTTTTCTATACATCAAAAGCAATCATTAATCAGTTCTTAGAATTCGGAAAATATGTAATTTGGAATTAATAACAAACTTAACTAAAATGTATAACAATAAATAAAAGAAAATTATTTTAAATTATCATTTTATTAAATAATGTAAGTTAGAATAAAACATCTTATCAAAAATATATAACTGAGTATATTAGGAAATTCAATTCCTTTTCATATTTTCTTAATATATTAATTATCTATTTCTACATTAAAAGCCGCCTTATTCAGTATTTTAGTTCAAATAAATAATCTACTTTTGGAATAAAAATCCTAACTAAATTGTGTACAAATTAAATAAATAAGGAAATTTAAATTAATGTTTAAGTTTGGAGTAAAATAAATCTTAACTAAAATGTATATAACTTTATAAATTTATCAATTAAGAAATTTAATTATTTTTTCTGATTAGTTTAATAGATTAAATTTTAGAATGCAACTAGATCATGTATCTTTTAGTAAAAAAAAAATCCAATAAAATTATAAAACATTATAAATCTATTATGAATTTAATTCATTGTTAATTACGTTCTATTTATCTATACTATAATGATAGTCATTAGTATTCAATTCTTAGAATTCATCTAAATCTCGTGAAATTTGGAAGAAAAATATTCTTAACTAAAATGTATATAACTTTATACATTTACAAATTAGGACATTTAATTCATTTTTTTTAACTTAATATATTAAATTCTCTTTAATCTATCGTTATCCAGTTTTTCGAATTTAACTAAATAATGTATTTTTGAATAAAAAAATTATTAACTAAACTGTATAGAACTTTATAAATTTCTGAATAAATTGTTTACAATTGATATTGGTCCAACTAAAAGACATACATATGAGTCAAGATAACCCAGTAGGAATTCTTGAAGCATAAGGAGTTTCAAATATTTAAGAGTTTATCCACAAATTTGTTGAGAAGATAGGTATAGTTGAAGAAGGGAGATTTCTTGGAAGAAAATAACCTTTCTCATTTAAAAAAAAATAATATGTTTTTCGTCAATATCAATAAATTTTAACTATTTTATTTCATTGGATAATACTTTTCTTAAAATACGATAACTTTAATTAATATTTAAATTTGGTTATATATTTTTCATTTTTGGTTTTACCAAAATGATATTATAGAAAAAAATAAATAAGAGATTGATAAATTTAATAGTTATTCAATCTCTGGCATTTTGATTTCTTGATATATATATATATATATATATATCAACACCCTCCTTCCACTTCTTAATCAAGCATATTCAGCTGAGCCAAACATACTCCTAACATTCAAGATTCAGCTATGTACAACTCAATCAAATGGCAAATAAATCTTTATCCGTCACTTTATTGTATTTATGTACCATACCAACATACATGCAATTCAATGGTTCATCAGCATAATATTTGTCTGTTCATTTATTCAAGAATTGTACACAACGCACTTTTGTTTTTAAGTCTTTGGAAAAGAATGCTTGCAAAACCCTGCTGCTGGAGGAAGCCACTTTCATGTTTTCTGAATTTGGACAGTTCCTTGGACCTTGAAATCGGGTATGAAAATTTCCAAAGAGTTCTGCGGCACTTCATGCCAAAGGGATAACATATGTCCAGAGAGGATGGCTCATCTACACTATTGGAGTTAATTTCATCCATTATTTGGTGAGGATTATATCAGTCTCTCTACAATCAGTGAATAACCAATAGGGAGAAGTAACCAAGAGAGTTATTATCACTTTCATACGGTAAAGAAGTCAACTACTCAAATTTGATGCTTTTGGTCTTATTTGCTAGAACCATAATGGCCTTTACAAGCTCCTCTTTGATCATGAACAGAACAGAAGCTGCAAAAACACTTTGCACTATCTTTGTGCTCATCCCCTTATAGAAGCCAGGTAGTCCTTCGTAACGGATCATTTTAAGCAGAGCATCAAAAGTACCTGCATTTATAGATTTAGAAAAGGGAAGACATACTTTGACAAAGTGGAATAGTTTTGTTTTCTTTCTTGTTATGATTGTTCATGATGGTAAGTGAAAGGCTTAAAGATACAGAAGCTCTAAATTAAAATGAAGCAATAATGCACTATAATTGTGTAATATGAGGATTTAGAACAAAAGTAATTAAATAGTTTGTATGCAAGACATACTTTTAGGGATAAATTCGGAACACTTTATGACCACAGATTAGCACAATCTTTATCTCACAAAGTTAATCCATAAATTTAACTCAAACCCAAAATATAAGAATTTTTAGGCAAGACTCAATTAAGTAAGAAATAGATGTTACTGATACTCTCTAACACTCTTTACAAGTAGTTAAAATTTATTGAAGATCCCTAATTAGGTCGACCTCAAATGTTGCTAGCACTCCTCTTAAGTAAAATAACAAATAACAAACTTTTTCTTCCCTTTATTCCTCTCTTCATGTACTGGAAATTTAAGTCACTTTGAACAGCAGCTAATGAAGTTCCAGTTACAATGTTAATGATTCCATAGCTTTAACATTTAGCAAATAGTAGAAAACCAATGGTAATTGATAACTTCAATCAGATGTTGGTAAGAATGAGGTTTACAAACAAAAGAAAAATATATTCACAATGTCCAAAGGCAAATTAAGTTATACCACATCTATCTAAAAGCAAACCTGAGTATCTAAATGAGCTACTTCCACCAATCTCCTGTTTTGCTTGAAGCCTTGACTGTGTGCAAAGAAACATGTGGTGGTATGAGTCATCAGGCACATACAAGATTGTTATGATGCAAGTGTGTTTAAGACTTGAGACTCTGCAGAAAACTGCGAGAGATCAAACTCTTCTCTGTTGTCAGACTATTTGCATGGTACATAGTTAGTTACAGGTTAAAACAACCAAGACTTGAAAACTATGGTTGCAGTGCATGGAATGTTATTTAATACAAAATTGGACCAATGATTGATGATTGGTGGGATATATACTTTGAAGTGGATGATAAGGATGATAAGTATGCCCTATATTAATGATCACTTGATGAGGTTTTATCTTCTTAATAACAAATGATAAGTGAGGAGAAAAAGAAGGAACTATTGGTAGATTTACCTTCACAACTAGTAATGGATATGTCGCGACAGTGGCTCCAAGTTTAGCTATTGCTCCCACCAAAAAGACCTTTTTGAAGAACAGGAGGATGCTTATTTACTGATATTCAAAGCAGGGGAAGATATACATTTGACATAAAACAAATTAAAATATTCTCCTAAAACATGCTTTCCCCTAGTACTTTATACCTCCAAAGCAGATATACTTGTATCCTCATGCTTCTTAGCTGCACGTTTTGCCCTTAGATGCTTTAATGAGCTTTCATAAATCATAAACTGGATTGATGGATTGCATACCTGTAATGAAAATTCCCAGAGATATGGAGATTATATAAATATTACACATGAACTTCGTGCATAATGAAATAAATAAATAAAAGATGATGAGGCAGACCATAATAAGGGCAGGGATCACACCCTTCCAAAATCCTACTGTACCCGCTTCATTGTAGACTTCATTAGCCTTTTAACCAAAACAAAGATTCATATCAGTATGAAAAAAAGTGAAAGTGTTAATTTAGCTGGAAATATGACAATCTTAGGTATATTAGTATTCTTTATATTGCAAGGACAACGCTATTGAATAATCCATGCCTTTTGTTTTCAACAATATAACACATTAAAAATTCAACATGAAATAATATGATAGTAATTGCAGGAAGTAACTCAGCCGTCTTTTTTTTTTTCTGACAAATGGAGCATGCACAATGTCAAACGATAGATCATTTCCTGAATCAAGAAGCTAACATGCTAAAGATTTGTTCTTATAATTCAAATTTGTAGTTTGAACAGTAAATCCAGTGATTAAGAGCAGGAAAAGAACAAGAAAAAAATTCGCAGTCAATCCCTGACCAATGTAAAGAACGATCGGTAGACAGAGAATGAAAGTGAAATAAGAGACTAACTGCATGTATTGTTCCATATGGGCGAGGTTTTATAGAATTCAGTTCATTCAATTTATCTTGCAATGTTGGGTCTGCTATGGTTCTTTCAGAAGCAGCCTTCCTTAAAGCTTCTTTCTTTTTCTCCACAATTTTCCTTTCTGCTTGAGTATGAGTCTAGAATCAAAATATAAAATGTGTCATATCATTGACATTGGATCCAAAACACGGATGCATGGTTTGAGAATAGCAGCAGGGCGTCAATCATGATCAGTTTTAAGAATTCAAAAGTCTGTGGGTTCTTCCCCTTTTTGGCTTTATGCCACATCCTGGCACTTTCATATAAAAAGTAATGAACTTTTGTTAGACATAAGTAGTGCACACACAACTTTTGTTAGACACAAGCAACACACGATACTACATAGATTTCACGACACCATTTGACTCAGTTAAAGATTAAGGTATTTTTTAAAACTTATTGATAAGTACTTTTAGAAGAGAAGAATATGAAGAAAAATGAAATCAGCACATCCATAAGCTAAAGTTAACTTAACAGACCTAATGTCTCACTGTGAACCGTACTCATAAAACAGAAAAGAAAAAGATCAAATGAAAAGCAACCAGAATTATGTTTGACAAACTGTAATCAAATAAAATACTCCAGGAAGAAAATAGAGAAATATTGAAAGCACCTGCATTCGAGTCACTAAAACCCATATCGGATTTGTCAACAACACATTCAAGGACCTGCAGAATAAGACAATTGCAACAAAAATATCAAGCAAAGAGATAGAACATCGGTTCACTATCACAAACATGAGTATTCTGAATTGCAACATTCAAATAAAACTTGCATAATGGAGTAATCACCCAGCAATTGCAGCCACAACAAGCCAACCAAACATCCCAACAGTACCATCTCCACGCCCTTTCAATTTCCGTGCAGCCGCAATCGCCACTGCCTTGTTCTTGAAAACTTGATAGAAATAGTAGTAAATTCCCTGACAGCATTGAAAAATAAGCAGTTAGATACCTCCTCCAGATGCAACATTGTCCAGGCCACAGTCAAACACTAAGTAGTACGAACGCCTCTTTCAATAAATATTTGAATCTTATCACGTTATGGGAGACTAACCCCTTTTGCTAGACCCAATCTCATTTATTATACACCAAGTCTTAAGGCTTGAATTTTGCATCTCATAATAGGGAATACTGAATAATCTGCAAAAGCTATTATCTTTAGAGAAGTGCTAGCAATATGCTCTATAACAATTCTTCTAACCTACCGGTTAAAATTTGATGGAAACAACAACATCATGAGCGAAGTTCATTAAATAAGAAGTGATAACAGCAAAACTATGTAATTTCCTATAAATTTGAATAAATAAAAACTGGACAAATGGTGTCTTGCCAGGATTTGTCATATGGGGTATGGTTGAAAACTGAAAACCTGAGAAGCAGCAGTTCCAAGAAGAGAAGGCTTGAGGCCACTATAGAGTCCACCCCAACCCTCATATCTAACGACCTGATAAAGGGTCACAAGTATAATCAAGATACCGTCATGAACAAAACCAACCAAAAGACAAAAAGAAGCAAAATTTGAACCTGAAACATCTGAAAAAGAATGCCAGGAGCAGTGGCTGAGTTGGAGGGAAAACTTTGCCTGGTCCTCTTGAGTGTTCTCTCAGTTTGCTGGCGCGTATTTACCTGAAAAATTGGAATAGAATTGGTCACACAGCCAAAGAGAGAAGAAGCAGAGAGAGAGAGAGAGAGAGAGGGAGAGAGAGAGAGAGTACCGTTTGAAGAGGATAAGTTATGATTTGAGCAATGATTCCACCTCCTGCACCAGCCAATCCATTTGCAATTGCGTTTGATTCTGACATGCCTCTTACAACTCTTGTTCAATTCTTCCTTCTTTCTCTCTCTCAAATCTCAATTCTTTGAGTTTCAAACTGAAGATATCAAGACGAGTTGGCAAATGGCAAGATTTGACTTGTACATATAGAAGGTTTGTTAATGAAACGGTTTTTTTTTTTATTAGTGAGTTATTTTCATAAATTAGAAGGAATAAAAAAGTAGAAGTTATATTTTAAATTTACTGTCAACTTTATTAACTAAAATATATATTTACTTATCTTTCTTAATTATTAAATATATATTTTACTTGCATAAAAGTTAAACTTTTATATACATTATATTATATATTGTATATACATAATTATATATAATAAGACTAATAATACATATATTACATTTTTAAATATATATATATATATATATATATATATATATATATATATATATATTCTATTGCACACTATGACAATAGTCTCAGAAGGAAAGAAAGAACTCAACATACTAATATCTTTTAATTCACTATTTTTCTTATATGAAGAAAAAAGAAAAAGGTGAAAATAGACAACAATATTAAACATAAATGATAGGATTTATAATATATATATTAAAGTCAAGATCATTTTTAATTTATAATTTAATGTAATTTGATCTCTTAATTTAAAATGATGTAATTTGACTATTCTTATCAAACTAACTCAATGTCAATAGTATATTTTATTAAACTAATAATGAAATTTTTTAATCACACGACTTAATAGCAATTAATAATATATTACAAGCGTTATAAATATTATTATAAAACTATAATTTTTAAAAAGCTGTCACGATTTTAAATTGAGGGTGTGTATGAAAAAATGGAGTATAAATAGTAATAAGTAATGGTGGAATTTAATATGTTAAATGACAAAAATCTCTATGTATTATTAACCATCGCGTGCACCTCGATACTCGGTGACATGTATATAATATAATAAAAATTATTATAATTTTTAAGGAAAATCGACTATTTCTTTTTTTTTTTTATGTGAATTTCACGAGATTGTTCCATTTTTATATTAAATTTTTATTTTAAATATATTTAATTTTGATTTTCATATTTATTTTTATATTTTTAGAATTTTATACGTTATTTTAATTTAGAATATAAAAATAAAAAAAAAGATATATATCTTTTTATTAAGATTTAAAATAGAAAATAAAATATTAATATTTCATTAATATTATATTTTTCATTTTAAATTTTATTTTGATTTTATTCGATTATTTTTTTTAAACTAATATTGATAATAGTGTATAAAAAAATAGAATCTCATCATGAATAAATTAATCAAATTATTTACATTTTGGATCTACACTTATTTTCAACTCCCTGAAACATTTTGTTGTTTACTACGCCCTTTCTCGTCTCTGAGTGTCTAGGTATCCATCATAAGTTTTTCTTTCTTCGTTTGAACTTTACCTTTAACTTGAAGGCTATGTCATCCTAATGTGTTGCTAGATGGAAGGATTTTATCAACGTCCATGAATGAGAAATCATAGCATAGATCAAACTGTCGAATCGAACACCAAAATACCCAAAGGATTAGTAACGTATGTTTCTTTTTTAAATTATCCAAAAGAGTATTTATGTATAATGGAAAAAGAATACTCCCCACAATTCCGATCTAGAGTATACTTGCATCCATTGATTTGATAAATAATTATTAGGAACAAACTAATCCTTTAATTTTTTAAAGTGCAAATTATTTTCTTTTACTTGCACAAAAAAGAATAAGAAGGAAAATAGATATTTTTTTTGTCTTATATCTGTGAGAAAAAAAGTCTCACATTAGAGAAATCTTAGTTTGGTACTTTCTTTTCTTACTATAAAAGGAACATAGTATTTATCTTGTAAAATGCACCAAAATCACTTCCTTTTCTTTATCTTGCTGCTTTAGTACTTGAGAGATAACTTAAGAGAGAAAAATAATTTCTCCTTTTAGGTTCTCTTAGAGTTATTTTTCCTTTATTTCCAGGAGAGGGTGTTATTGTTTCCTCCTTGGAGGTAGAGAGAGAAGAGTTGTAATTTCTTTTATTATTGGAATTACTCTTTTGCCTATTGTTGGTGTTTTTCTCATTTTTATTTATTTTAGTTGTGTGTATTTATGCTTTTGTCTGATACCTAATAGTGGTATCAGAGCCACTAGGTTGTGATATTTATCTTCTGCTGCATAGTAATTAGAATAGTGTTGGAGAAAATTCTTAGTATGCACTGTGATTGCGGTTAATCTGATCTTTCACATCAGAAAAGAGTTATTCTTGTTACTCGATATTATTTGGCAGTGTGATAGTGCATATCTAGAAAAAGTTCTGGCAAGGAAAGACTTGGTATTTAAGCGTGTCCATTAGTGACCCACCTCTCTTTTCTGGAACTTACTTGGTATACTGATTCACGGTTTTGCGTTGTTGTTCCAGTAGGTAATACTATTTATAGTAAGGATTGCATAAGTAGGTTTTGGAATCATGACAACAAAATATGAGATAGAGAAGTTCAATTAGAATAATTTCTCATTATAGAAATTAAAGATAAAGACAATTTTGAGAAAGGACAATTGTATTGATGCAATTGCGAAAAGAACCATGGAACACATGGATGAACGATGGTGGAAAGAAATAAACAACAATGTTATTGAGAATTTGCACTTATTAATGGTAGATTCAGTTTTATCCAGTGTTGTGGAGAAGACTACTGCGAAGGAGATTTGGGATACCCTCATTAAACTATACGAGGTAAAGTCACTTAACACAAGAATATTCTTGAAGAGAAAACTCTATACTCTTCGAATGAGTGAATCCACATCAGTGACGGACCACATCAACAATTTGAATATCTTGTTTGCCCAACTATCAACAACAGATTTCAACATAGTTGAAAATGAGCGTGCAGAGCTTCTACTTTAGAGTTTACTTGATTCGTATGATCAACTCATTATCAATATTACAAATAATAATATTGACAAGAATATGAACATTGAGGATGTTTCCAGAGCTATTCTTGAAGAAGAATCCAGGCAGATGAGTAAGAGGTTTTGACAATGATGAGAGAAAGATCAACGGAACGTGGCTCGAGTAATGATAGATCGAGGTCTCGAAGTAAAAAGAGTTCTAAAATCAAATGCTACTTTTGTGGCAAGAAAAGGGCATACGAGAAAGAGTGTTGGAAGAGGAAGAATGGAGGAAACAACTCTGAAGAATCAACCTCACAAGGTTGTGTTGTAAGTACCTCGGAATATGGAGATATTCTGGTGAGTGAAGCAGTAATTAGCTTTAATGGTGAAAAGGAGTTTCATAACAAATGGATAGTGGATTCAGGTGCAACATGGCACATGACTCCGCACCGAGATTGGTTTCACACTTATGAACTATTCTAAGGTGGATTTTTCTTCATGGGAAACAACCATGGATTGGAGATTACTGGAGTTGGTACCGTCAAAATTAAAATGTACGATGATATTGTTCGCACAATTCAAGGGGTACCGCATGTGAAGGACTTGAAGAAAAAATTATTGTTCATTGGGCAATTAGATGAGCTCGGGTGTAAGATCCATGTTGAAGGTGGAATCTTGAAGGTTGTTGAATTATTGGCAAGCGTATCAAAATTATCAATTGCAGTATAGTATTTCGATTAAATAAAAGTCGATCCCACGAGGAACGGTTTCAATGAAAATTCTCAATTATATGCTTACTAAGTATATTAAAACAAAATGGGTTTTGCAAAAAGAGTTGAATTGAAATTAAATGACAAAGAACTGTAAATTGTTGAGAAAATATCAATTAAAGGCACTTAGGATTGACTTCCTTCCTTATCCCTCTTTTGTAATGACTATGTCAATTAAGAACGTCAATTAACCTAACAATGTCGATGCCACCTACTCAAATCATCCATGTTGATTCCTCACACAATTAAGAGATTTTCCAGCATTAGGTTTAGGGTGTTTAAGCAATTGATACATTCATTCCATTCTTGGCAATTAATGTAACAAATATTCTTACCGTGATCTAGGGTTCAAGATATATTTTCCAATCATACCTCAAACAATCAAGAATAAATCATTCCAAAGCATAAAGGATAAGAATAACAACATCAAAGCATAGATTAATATCTCAAAATATCACCATGATACAAAGGAAGTGCACCCAATCCCAAGAGAATGAAGTTAGCCACTCATGTTGGTCCTTACAATGCTCCAAATGTGGAAGAAGTGAAGAATCGATGAAGATTGGACGAAACCCTAGCAGTAGTCGCGCCTCTTCTTCCCAAAACCGCTTTCTTTCTCAAAACACATTTTATCTTTTTATAAGAGAATTTGGGTCGGGCCTCGCATCATTCATTCGCTTAAGCGTTCTTCTTTCTTTCAGTTTTTCTTCAATTACTTCACAATTATGATCTTTGCTCTTGTATCAAGGTATTCTCGAATTCATCTTATATTGGGAGAAAAATATATTAGAATTAACATAAGTTAAGTGATTTCATAACAATTCAAAGTACAATTATATCAACTTTTTACCACTTAACAACTCCTCCCAACCTAGAATCTTGTTTGTCCCAAGCAAAGTAATTTTTCCAAAACAAAACCATCGCCTATTATCACTTTCTCTTCCAGAACCACAACATAAAAAAATTTCATATGTGATGCTCACAACTCTAAATGAAAATAGAACACATAAGCATTCAAGTTACAGAAACTAACAAAGAATAATTAGTCATCAACTATCCTCAGAGAAGCATGATCTCTCAAATAGAGTTATATATAATCATCTCTAATTCTTACAGGTAAGTGTTTATCTCATTCAATAATTTCATTTAGACAATCCAATATTGATAATCATCTTCAAGCAATCAACATTTGTTAATCAATACTTAAATCAAAAGGTCTTTTGAGGCTTGTAATGGGGTTGGGCTAAGAAAGAATTCATTGGTTTTTCTGGGATATACTAAAGTATTTGAGAAATTCAACTCATATGAATGATTCAAGCAATCAACATT